TGTATTTTACCCCCCAATGCGATTTTTACTGGGGGACCCCCTCGAAAGCAATTGGGCTATTTTCAGGCTAGTTTTGAGTAGTAATTGGGCGGGTTTTGTAGCGAAAACCTGGCAACCCTGCACCAGACAGAGCTGTCGGCGATTCTTTCTATTGTGAAGTCATGCAGTGTGTAACCTCCTGTCATCGTTCCATGGTGCAATGTGAACACAGCAGCGACTGAATGCTACGCCAGATAGTCACGCAGTGTGAAAGCAACGGCGATCAGACGAGTTTGAAAATCGTGCAGTGTGAACTCGGCATTAGTAACACATACAGCTGTCCCCTCACCACAGTGCAACAGTGAAAAGGGACCCCTTTCAAACAGTGTCGCGTTCCGAACGTTGTTTAAGCGACATACATAAGCGAATACCGCATACGTATTGCGGTATTTTAAAAATTCATATCATTACAAAAATAAACACCGGGATTATAAATCCGTGTTAAAGCTACAAAAGTGATTTTTCTTTGTGTTTTGTTGTTTGATTAACATTTATGACACAGAAAGCAACAGGAGCATTAAACTGCTGTGAACCAATATACTGTTACACATCCGTTTTAAGCCATAAGCAACTGTGTTTAGGATACTTGCAGAGACATGCATTTTGACATAATTTCACACGTAAGTGTCATTTCAGGCACAAATAGATGAAGTGAAGGGAATTCGGTGTTCATGTGCATCTGCATGGCTCTGTGTGTGAGCACAGAAAACAGCGCGTGTTCATAATATCTCCAGATGAACACTTACTGGACTGAAGCAGCTGGGCTTTACTTGATTCTCCATCAATCATGTTTTAGAGTCTCAAATCTGATCCTCAGGATCTTTTGAGGAGCGTTTGTTTCCAGAAGCTTTACTTTCACTGTTCCTCAGCGGAGGAATGATCTTCACAAGCCTCCAGAACATCTCACATCTTCTGAGGAGACTTTCTTCATCTCTCAATCATTGCATTGCATTGCATTATAAATATCAGCATCTGCACCAAATTGCATATTTTTGCTCAGTTTGACTCCATATTCTCACTATATCAGACTACATTATTTATGAGCCATAAAAGCCTGATGTATACTCAACAGAAACACATGCATCTTTTATATGTTGTCTAAAGGTCACTAAACTGTTCTGTTAAAAAAAAAAACATAACATTAAACTAAAGCAAAGCTTCCAAGCTTTCAGCAACACATCAGCTTCTTTATTTATATAACAGGCTGTACAAAATGCCAAAATAACTGCTGACTATTTGTTTCAGTGCCCTATGACCAGATCAGCATGTGTTATTAGTCTAATATCAGAGTTACATGAATATGCAACCAAGCAGGGAAGAGTGGGGGCAAGTTGTCACAATTTAAGCAACCTATAAATGCACAAAAGCAGATGCACACTTTTGACCTGACAACTATCCCTATGCATTTAGGCAACATGTTAAACTACACAAAAGCAAAACTGATCTGCATCACAGTTTGACGTTTAAGCAGACAGAAAGATCTGTTCACATCCCATAAGAACAGTGCTTTTTTTGGGATGTGCTCGCTTTGTTCTGCATCGAGGCTGCTGGGACAAGTCACATTCTTGGCAGAGAAACAAATACGCTGCATCTAACTAGGGGCCTCTGTGTTCAATGGCCTATTTAGACGCCAGAGCCGCAGATTATATAGAAATACACGACTGACAGCTCTGAATTTGGCCAGTAGCGCTTCAATCCGGGACATCAAATCAGTGTAAAACATCGAGCGCCGGGTATAAAATGCAGAAATGTGTTTTAAAGCGGTTTGAAATCTTACAATTGCGATTTAAAACACGAAAGGGTGTTTGAAAAACAAATGTGGAGATATTTCTCCCTCTCATCAGCAGCTCGGAGCGATGGTCACACACACACACATGCATTATATGTTTTCAGTGCTTTTTTTTGTTTTTTGTTTGTTCTACGAGATTTACATATAATTTAAAGTAATTTATAAAATGTGCAAAATATGGTTTACATTGAGCCCACTTCTTCTTATGTATATGGAATTTTCCTAACAAAATAAACAAATGTATAATATGTTGTTCTTTACAATTCAAATTTTCGTTTTCTGTATAAAAAAGTACATCAAATATACAAATTTCTATCATACACTCTATTTTTCTGTTAATATAGAATTCCAAATCCTTCCAAAATAATCTCGAGTAAATACAATGAAAAAAAAGATGCAAAATAGTTTATTTTTCTTGACTATTTAAAACGGAATAAGAACCTAAATAGTGATTATTTTACGTCATCATGTCATCAAGTTAATTTTATTAGTAACTTTAACCGGTGTTTCACTTCATTACAATATATCTCGAATTTAAATAAATCAAATGTTTTCATGCTATTTAATAATAAAAATCATGTTTGTTAGAACCAACACGGGAAACCATTTCTTTCTTTCTTTATATTATTTTATTGTATTTTTTGAGGGAACAATAAGAACATTCTGGAAACCGAAATCTGGGAACATCACCAAAATCCTCGGTTCAGTCATTACGAATCGGACACGTGAACCCGATTCAGTCTCATTCATGAAAGAATCGTTCAGACCGACAGACTCATTGAAAAGATCCGACTCAAAAGAACGATTCATTAGCGAATCGGACACCGCTCGTGTATTTTATTTTGTATGGTGGTGCATTGCATACGTGTTGATTTACTGGCTTAATGGTCGGATTTGCATGTTTTCTGTTTATGCTTTCAGAGGATTTCGACATCGTGTGTTTACTCGAAGTGAAAGCAGTGCGAGGCTCTTTCATCGCTGAAGGGCGTGGACCCCATACTGCGGTGAGCCACGCGCGTGTGTTAGCCAATCAGAAACGCTCTCTGTCTGTCAATCATTTTGCGCGTTTGTTTTTTGCTTTAAAGGGCGGGGTTTGAGAAAGCGAAATTAAATAATAATAATAATAAAGAAGAACATACATCATATGTACTGTGAAGAAATATAAGCTAAGAAAATAAGGTAAGTGATCAAGTTGTAATCTTGACCCATTTAGGTTAGCCAACATATTATTTTTTCAGGAATGACATGGCTGCCATAGACACATGTAAAGTCATGTCACTTTTTTATGTAATTAAAGATGTAATTAAATTACAGCAAACCATTGTCACTTAATTATAACAAACCTGTAGAACTACAAATGTAAAAAAACACACAAAAAAACACTGCAATGCCAATATGCACAATATATTCATCATTCATCAAATAATTTGCTTTCAGTACTTTTTTTATTCAGTTCTCATGTCTTAACATTTTTAACAATGCAGATATCTATTTTAAACTTACTTAAAAACTTACATTGAGGACACTTCATTGTTTGCTTTGCATTTCTGTCTAATATTTTAAGGCATTGCATAATTGCTTGTAAAATGCAGGTAAATGTTCAATGTGAAATAATATCATCAGATGTATCTGCCTGCTGACATCCCATAATGCAGTGCTGCATAATCTGCCATCTGGCCATTAAACCTTGTCAGCACTGTACATGAATCAATGGCATTTGCATTATTGTTACATGAGGTGCTCAAATATGTACAGAAAATGCATTTGATTTTTTTTTACACCATCTATTGGCTTATTTCTCTTGCATTGTTATTTTCACAAATTAATAAATAAGGCTCATCTGAAATGTATTGTTTAAAGCTTAAATATGCATATATTTATTTATTTGGTAAATAGCCTTGTAATAAGTGGGATAATGTACAGCCAACCGGTCATGATCTCAAAATAAACGTCTTTACTTCACTCTGCAAGAACGACTGGCTACCTCTACATTATTCCTTGCATAAAGTACAGTATATATGTCTGTGCACATATATGCAAACTAAAAGCTTGATTTTTGTTACCTGCATTTGTATTTTAAAATGCTCAACACCAACATTCAAATTCATATTGACCCAGATACAGAAACTTCTGTCCAAAATAACTAATAAATACAATAATGCATTATAAAATATATTCAAAGCACCGTATGTGTGGAGCTAACTGTATGGCTTATGGATTGTACAGAAATCTGCATGAAAGTGAACAACATATCTGGCACAATTAACAGCATCAAACGGAACTGCAATCTGAAAAACTTGTTTCAAAACAATTTTGTTTGCTGCCGTTTGTTATGGAAGCCTGTTTCTGCCACAGGATAAAAGTCCGAATTGTGAGATGTAAATTCAGAATTGCAAGATTGAGACAAAAGTCAGAATTGCAAGATACAAACTCGGTTTGCAAGATCGGAAAAAAAGTAAAAATTGTGAAATATAAACTCAGAATTGCGAGATTGAGGGAATAAAAGAATTGTGAGAAAAAAGTCAGAACTGCGAGATACAAACTCAGATTTGCAATTCTGAGAAAAAAGTCAGAATTATGAAATGTAAATTTAGAACTGTGAGATATAAACTCAGAACAGAGAGATTGAGAAAAAAAATCAGAATTGCAAGATATAAACTCAGAATTGCGAGACTGAGGACAAAAGTCAGAATTGCGAGAAATAAACTTGAAATTATAAAAAAAAGTCAGAATTGTGTGAAATAAACTCAGAATTGTGAGATTGAGAAAAAAGTCAGAATTATGAGATGCAAATTTAGAATTGTGAGATATAAACTCAGAAAAGAGAGATTGAGAAAAAAATCAGAATTGCAAGATATAAACTCAGAATTGCGAGACTAAGGAAAAAAGTCAGAATTGCGAGAAATAAACTTGAAATTATAAAAAAAAGTCAGAATTGCGAGAAATAAACTCAGAATTGTGAGATTGAAAAAAAAGGCAGAATTGCGAGATACAGTATAAACTCAGAATTGCAAGACTGAGAAAAAAAGTCAGAAGTGCGAGATATAAACAGAACAGAATTCAGAATTTTTTCTCGCAATTCTGAGTTTACATCTCAATTTCTTTTTTTTTTGTTTGTTTTGGCCACGAAATAAACTTTTTTTAATCTCACAATTCTGTCTTTTTTCAGAATTCTGAGTTTATATCTTGCAATTCTATCTCGCAATTCCATAAGAATTAGAGAATATAAAAAGTTGCAGTTACCTCTTATTTTTTTATCCTGTGGCAGAAGCAAGCTTCCACAGTTTGTGGCACAGAAATAACACACCTTTAAAGACACATAAGATTGTAGAGTGTGTTTGCGCTCATTATTTCTGGTGTAGCGTGTGTGTGTGTATGTGTGTGTTTTCCTGAGGGTCAAAAGTGTGTGTTATGACACTGTGCTATCTGATGCAGAGCTTCTCGTTGGTACGGACACACACAAGCGGTGCTGCTCACTTCCCGCCACTGGAGAGGCTGATGAGACGACAGCGAGCTCTCCACCTGCAGCAAAAACAAAGACAGCTTGAATTACTCTGTAAACCCAACGAGAGCTAAAATACTGCCGCTTAATTCACTAAATAAAAACCACTTATGGAGTGCTGAGAATATGACTGCACAGAGCCATAAAACTGAATGTGCTTATGATGTTTTATGTCTATCGAGACGGCATCCAACTGGGATCCACATCTTGTAGACAGTTTTCAGAATCACCCTCCTCAGGGAGTATTATGAGCTCCCAGCACAACATGAGTGGAGCACTATTCCACAATTCAGACAAAGCATCTGTCACCATAAACTTATTTTATACACATGTATATATATTAAATAATAAAACAAAATATTGCACACACAGTGTGCAAAATGGACACAAATATTTCTTACCAGCCATACAATCTATCTATCTATCTATCTATCTATCTATCTATCTATCGATTATCTATCGACTATCTGCTCGATTATGGCAAATATCATAATCACGATTATTTTGGTCAATATTGTAATCACGATTATTTAACACGATTATGAGGGGGCCATATGACCAAAACTTTATATGAGTGATTTATTTAAAGATTTATTTAAAGATAGTGATACATATCAAATATATATTTCCTGTAAATAAGGTTGCTATGACGTCTACATTGTAGAGACCAGCGGAATTTCAAAAAGTTAAACTTACTATCTAACTAACCCATAGTTAATATAGGAAACCTGGTGCAGTTTAAATCTATGATCTTAATGTCTGTAACAATGTCTTTTAATCAGTGATGCTCACCTGTTCTCCAGCCTCTATTTGAGACTTGGTCTTGTCATGTAACTTTTTTCCCAGAATCCTCTCCAGTGTCTGTGCTAGAGGCTCATTAGCTTTGACTGGGCCCTACAAGAAACATGTTTAGGATTGACTCAATATATGCTTAGCATATCTATAAAGCCAGTTTGTGTTGTGTTTGAGTATAACTAGCTAATCTTCGTTCCAAAGAACAGTAATTATGATGATTTTCATGACTAACAGTCAAAAGTAGGGATGCACCGATGTATCGGTCGCCGATATTTATCGGTCGATTTTTGATTCAAAATAACAGTAAAGCAAATATGATGCTTTTTATGACGGTTTAAAAATCAAATGTTTAAAGTCTCTTCTGCTCACCAAGGATGCATTCATTTGATCAACAATACAGTAAAATATTTTAAATGTTATTATAATTTAAAATAGCTGTTTAAAATGTAATTTATGAATTAATTTTCAGCATCATTACTCCAGTCTTCAGTGTCACATGATCCTTCAGAAATCAAACCGTAAAATAAAATCTTAATTATTCCATATTTCTGTCCTGTAGTGTATTTATCTCAGATTTTCTGCATTCTCACCCCAGGAAGAGCCCAGTGTTTCTCCGCTTCCTCCCAAACGGCGAGAAACTCCAGCACCTTGTGTTCAGCATCACGCCACCTTCAAAAACAGACAGAAAGCTCCTCTAGCATTCCTCTCACGAACAGCGGGATGAACTAAGGACACGGGATGAATCGCTAATCTGCTATAATCCCACAAACGATGTGGGACTGTGTTGTTTTTTGTGCGTTCGGTTGTAAACTTCAATCCGATATGAGATTAGAGTTTAATTCCAGTGAAGATCAGGACATGAAGGGGATTTTAATTCACCTGGTGAGGATTGGGTGGAGAATGTGATTCGGACCCAGGGATTTCAGAGCCCCTTTTCCCCGAATCCCAGTCCTTCCTCCTGGATTCCTGTCAAATCCATTCATGAGAATAAAACTTAACACTCAAACGAATTAAATGCAAATTCAAGTAGGAGAATAAAGACACAGCTGCATCCCTGGACCACAAAACCAGTCATAAGGGTCAATTTTTCGAAATTGAGATGTATACATCAGCTGAAAGCTGAATAAATAAGCTTTCCATTGATGTATGGTTTGTTAGGATAGGACAATATTTGGTCGAGATACAACTATTTGAAAATCTGGAATCTGAGGGTGCAAAAAAATCAAAATATTGAGAAAATCAACTTTAAAGTTGACCAAATGAAGTTCTTAGCAATGCATATTACTAATCAAAAATTACGTTTTGATATATTTACGGTAGGAAATATACAAAATATCTTAATGGAACATGATCTTTACTTAATATCCTAATGATTTTTGGCATAAAAGAAAAATCTATAATTTTGACCCATACAATGTATTTTTGGCTATTGCTACAAATATCCCCCAGCGACTTAAGACTGCTTTTGTGCTCCAGGGTCACACATTACGTTTTGCATACCTGTACTTGTCCAAGACTGAAGTGTCAGAGCTGTGCAAAGAAAATAGTGTTTTTATTGACAAAAACAGCAAGATGAGAAGTACCGTCAGGAATGCTAAAACAAGCATTTCAAGAATTATAATATGTTTTCAGCACCAACAAAATTCAGTGAATGCATCTTCCTGTCATTTCTATTCAACTTCCTGGTTGTATATGCCAGAGACAATTCAAGGCAAACCCTTATTGTGTTTAAGTCCTCTTGGGAAGTTCATTTTTACGAGTGTGGAAGTGGTAATTACGACTTCAAGTGTGTTCAGATCACTTGGGTTGGAGCAAGATGACAACGTAGCTTTACTACATAAAATGTATCAAACAAGATTTTTTTACTTTATATCTCCTGTACAAAATGATGAATAAAGATGTGTGTTTTTGCTTTACGTTTTTATTCAATTTATGAAGAATTGAATTGATATATATTATACTGTTATTGTATAATATTTTGTACATGCAACATAGTTTTATTGTAAATGAAAAAAAAAAATCCATTCATTTTAACCCGAGTTAATTTAGTATAATGGAGATACTATTATAGTTTTCACTATTATTTCGAATTAGTTTTTATTTTTATATTTCCTCTTTTCATTTTTATTTTACTTAATTTTAGTAATTTAGTAATTTTTATTAGTTTTATTTTTTTATGTGTCTATATAGTTTTTTTATTTTTTTATTTTTAGTTATTTTAGTTTGTCAAGTTAAACTAAATAAAAACAGAAATGTTGCCTTGGCAACTAGCTGAAATAAAATATTTTTCATTAAAATTTAATGAACATTTTTAGTAATTTGTTGTTTTTATTAGTTTTTGTTTTTTAAAGAATTTTAAACTAAATAATAGAATTTTTAGTTGAAACTAAATAAAAAAATTAAATGTTGCCTTGGCAACTAGCTGAAGTAAAATATTTTTCATTTTAATTTTGGTTAAAATTTTAGTAATTTAGTTTTGCCAATTTTATTAGTTTTTTTATTTTAGTTTGTCAAGTTAAACAAAAAAAATAGAAATGTTGCCTTGGCAACTAGTTGAAATAAAATATTTTACCATTTAATTTTAGTTAAGATTTCATTAATATAGTTGTGTGTTTTGTCATTTTTATTATTATTATTTATTTTTTTAAATATGTCCATATAATTTTTATTTTAGTTTTACGTATTATAGTCCATCAAGTTAATCTAAAAAATAGAAATACTGCCTTGAGCTTGATCACATTAGAACACAGAGTCGCCATTTACTTTGAAGCATGCAGACTACATATTTAATATTGCATAATAATTGCACAAGACAATATCATTAAACACTTTGATTTTTTGCGCCGTCAGTGTAAAACTCACTCGCTGCTGTCCTGTTGATTGTAAACTGGAGGAAGGTATGGAGTGAAGTTTACCTGAAAAAGCAAAATACATGTATGTGTCACATAAGATCAAAACAATCCAACGTGATGTTGCTTAATTTGGTAAAATATGTTATGTTATTAATATCAGGCACCTCCCAGGGCACCTTCTCCTCAGGCACGGGGAAGCGTTTGACGGTACTGCCGGGATACTGAAGCTGACGTGCAAACGTGTGAGGAGCTGATTCCTCATCTGTCTCCTGTCCACTAGATTCACCGTCGTCCCTGTCAGAGCTTTTACCTGCTGGATGGACAGAGGACCTCATTTACAACAGCAGCAAACAGAAGCACTTTCCACAAAACAGTGTGCAAAATAAGTGACGAATAATTGGGAATCTAAAATACTCTACAGTTTTGAGGTCGCATAAAATAGATCAAAAGTGACAGTAAAGACATTTATAATGCTACAAAAAAATCTATTT